ATATATATATATGTAAGAAGAAGACGAAGAAAAAAAGAAGAAGAAGAAGAAGTTGGGCTGTTGTGGGGCCCAGTCGATTCTGTTTGCCGCCTTTTTCCTTTGCAGAGTCTGACGACCCCGCACAAAGGCCACTTGCTGAAAACCCGAAATAATCAAAGAACTAAATATAACATATATATATATGTATGTATGTATGTATGTATGTATGTGTGTATGTATGTATGTATGTATGTATGTATGTATGTATGTATGTATGTATGTATGTATGGAGCTGCGGTTTAGGGTTTAGAGTTTAGGCTCTAGGGTTAGAGGTCTTCACAGTCAAGCGCAGCGTGCCGCCCCCTGGCTCTACCCTATAGTGGCGCAGGGCACCCAATGTCCCTTAGAGTAAAGAATATGAGGCACCTTCAGCTGCATATGGTTTAATTAGGGTTCAGGGTTGAGGGTTTAGGGTTATCATAGTTATCCTGACTTTGTGGAATCTTTGGTGTATTCGCAAAATGTCACGGACATTCGGCTTCCCTGCCCATAGTTAAGGGAAGCTTACCTTTTCTTAAGGGAACCCCAAGAACTTATTCTTGCAGTAGTTACAAGGCACTCTAATGGGTTTTTAGGGTCAATACATAGGCTTGTGGCACCCAACCTCGTGGATGTCTTTGTGCCCACGATCCCTTCGAATTCCATGCAGCTCCGCAATTGCATTCTGGCCGGAGGACCTCGCAAGAAGAAGAAGAGGAAGAAGAAGACCAAGCCTACCGAGCGCTCAGAAAACAGAGTGGTGCCTGTTCAACAACTTCAAGCATGAAGGCCCCTGCTTGGACAAGAGAGGCATTTAGTTCAAGAAGTTCAGCGTTGGAGGGCCTCGACGCGTCCTGGGATACACACGGAAATCCGCTTGAAGAAGGATGAGTGGAAGAGAAAGTTTCCCACCCTTTTACTACACCTTCACATGCGCGACCTGTGTCAAGTGCACTTGGCATGGAAAGGCGTCTTATGATGAAGCAGTCTGATGAACGCAGGTACCCAAGAGTCTGCACCAAGTTCCATAGTCGTGCACAAGTAGCTTTTTCTTCAAGCCCCAAACCCTAAACCCTAAACCTATAGACCCTAAACCCTAGACCCTAGACCCTAAACCCTAAACCCTCAACGGGAGTCCTGCGATGGGTCGGGGGAGAAGCCCCGGGACCTGAAAAGGCCTCTCCTGGCGCCCCACATTGAGGCCATGGTGCAGGCCGGAGCTTCTTTCGGGTTCAGGATTTAGGGTTTATGGTTTAGGGTTTAGGGTTTAGGGTTTAGGGTTCAGGGTTCAGGGTTTATGTTTGGGGTTTCTTGGGTTCAGGGTTTGGGGTTCCTTCCCGAAGGGTCCATGTACCTGTATAGTACATACTTTGGGACCTGAGGCTCCGAAATGGGAACCCCTTGAAGGCCCAATGAAATACCACATAGGTACATGGAAACTGAGGGTCTCATGATAGGGGTTTAAGGGTTTAGGGTTCAGGGGTTTAGGGGTTTAGGGTTTAGGGGTTTAGGGGTTTAGGTTTTGGGTTTCGTGTTTTAAGAGAGAGGGTTGGGGTTTGTAGGTTTTATGGGGCTTGGGGCCGGGGTGTTCCTTGTTTTTTTTCTTTTTTTGTTTTTTTTTTGGGGGGGGGGGTACCCTAAATATAGGCCTAATTTAAGGATAGGAACCTTAAAGTTTTGCACTGATGTGGATGGGATGTCTTTGGGCTGTAGGACTTACAGGTTTTAAGGCCTAAGGTGAGAGCACATCCATGACTTGAGATGTTGCGTCCGTGAGGGCTTTGGAGTTTAGGGTTCAGGGTTTAGGGTTTAGAGTTTAGGGTTCGTTGTGCAGCGTTCAGGGTCGTCGTCGTTGTGCGCGCAGTGCCGACAGTGTACTCGCACTCTTACCTGCAGGGTCTTCTAGCAGCATTAGGGGAAGTAGGCGCAAGCCGAAATACCCACCCTAAACCCTAAACCCTAAACCCTAAACCCTAAACCCTAAACCCTAAACCCTAAACCCTAAACCCTAAACCCTAAACCCCCCTCAAGGGCAAGCAGATGGCCCTTCCCCCTCCCCCGGCCTCGCGCGATTTTTTGTGGGTTCGGAGCTGTGCAGCAACGTGCTGCTTTCACCCCAAGCCCCTATAAACCCTTAGCCGGTTTCGGGCTTGGGGTTTAGGGTAACCCTAAACCCCTGAAATGGGGATGTTCTCCCTTATACTAACAGTCCTTGATTGGGATTATCTTAGGGGGTGCTATACTCCCCATCAGGGGTATAAGGGGGGACATCCCAACCTCGACCCTGTCAACCCTAAAAACCCAAACCCTAGCTCGGGAACTGGAGTTCAGGACTCTGTCTGAACACACCCTAAACCTAAACCCCAAACCCTAAAACCTAAACCCTAAGCCCTCAACTTGCCCTAAACCCTAAACAGCCAACGCGATGGCTCTGCGTAGCTGCCGCCTGCCACCGTCCACTCCTGGCCAGTTGTGGCACTCTCAGCCGCAGAGTTTAGGGTTTAGGGTTTAGGGTTTAGGGTTTAGGGTTTAGGGTTTAGGAGCGTTTAGGGTCTAGGTTTTTTTTACAGGGTTTTGGCAACTACAGGGTTTAGGCTTGGGCGGACATTGCGGGGGAGGGGGGGGGGGGGGGGGGGGGGGTGGGGGGTGATTCGTAAATGAAGCAGCATCTTCTGGCTTTTGGTAGAACTCCTTGTTCAACGACCCCTCCAAAAGGACTTCTAGAACAATAACCATATTGTTAGAATCAAGATGTTGTCCCCAAACCCTAAACCCTAAACCCCAAACCCCAAACCCCAAACCCTAAACCCTAAACCCCAAACCCGAAACCCTAAACCCTAAACCCTACTGGTGCAAAGGGCCTCATAACATTGGCTCCTACTCACAGAGCATCAGAGCATCCCCCCTCTCTATTGCAGCCCGGCTGCGATTTGTCGCACTTGGAGGTTCAGTTCTTTCGGGTTCAGGGTTTAGGGTTTAGGGTTTAGGTTCAGGGTTTAGGGTTTAGGGTTTAGGGTTTAGGGTTTAGGGTTTAGGGGTGGTACCCTTTACCCCTTGTTGGGGTTCCCTTTGGGATGTTTCCCCTTTCTGTCCTTAATAGGGATTATAATAGGGGGTGCTACAATCCCTATTAAGGACTGTTTGTATAAGGGTGAACATCCCAAGTGGTTACCCCGCTTTTTTGTTTTGGTCATGGGTTCCCTTATAAAAGTAACCAGCGTGGCGCTTGTTGTAATATGGTTACTGGGTTACCAAGTCTTCACCCCATGATAACTATGACCCGCTTATAAGCCCCTTGAGTACCCTAACATGTTTTTTTAATAAGTTGGGATGCTCCCCGTTATACTAACAGTCCAGGCATTATAAAAGGGGGGGTACTAGAATCCCGATTAAGGACTGTAAGTATACGGGGGGACATCCCAAGTTCTAAGTGCAGCTGATTACGTACCATATGGTTACTGGGTTACCGTGTATTCACCCTATGATAACTATAACCCGCTTATAAGCCCCTTAAGTACCCCAATCTGGTTTTAACGGGTTCTAAGTTGGGATGGTCCTGTATCCTAATAGTCCTTAATCGGGATTATAATGGGTGGGTACTAGAATCCCTATGAAGGACTGTTAGCATAAGGGTGAACATCCCAAGTTCAACACTAAACCCTATAAACCCTAAAACCCAAAACCCTATAAGCCCTATAATCCCTGTAAACCCTGTAAACCCTGTAAACCCTATAAACCCTGTAAGCCCTATAATCCCTATAAACCTTGGAAACCCTGTAAACCCTATAAACCCTGTAAACCCTGTAAACCCTGTAAACCCTATAGACCCTATAAACCCTGTAAACCCTAGAAACCCTGTCAACCCTGTAAACCAGCTGTAAACCCTATAAACCCTGAACCTCCAAGCAAGGTGGCTTTGCTCCATGCCTGCACGCACCGAGCCCCTCGAGTCGTTCAGACGAGCGTGTGTGGATGCCAAGATACATGTTGCCGGCCTGGGTAGCCCAGCGGTACCCTTTTTTTGTTTTTGTTTTTAGTTCTATAGGTTCCCTTAAAGGTGTATATATATATATTATAGGGCCTACAGAATCCCTTAGAGGGTATATATAGGGCCCTATAGAATCCCTTAAAGGGGATGGAGGCTATAGGTTCCGTTAAGAAGTCGCCAACCCCCCAAAAAGGGCGTGCCATTACCAAGCGAAGCATGTGGTGTAACTCAGAGGATCATGAGGGTTTAGGGTTTAGGGTTTGTAGGGTTTAAGGTTTAGGGTTTACATCTGTTACCAAGGCTATTGGTTGCTTCACTCCCCGGGCGGAGATTGCAGTGAAGTCGCCTTCCTATCTGGAGGTTCACGTTACGTATTAGCCTTGGGATGTTGCCCCTTATACTAACAGTCATTGATAGGGATTATGGCACCCCCAATTATCATCCCGCAATTACTAGGGCTCAGAGTTTCGGCTCCCTTATGCGCCCCTTGAAAAAAGTAAAGGGTACCCTCTTGATGCCTAGGTTTATAGCATTTTAGGGGAAATGAGTGGGTTAGAAGTATAGTTGCTTGGGATGTTCCCCCGTATACTAACAGTCCTTGATAGGGATTTATAGTACCCCTCCCGCCCCCTATTACAATCCCGATTAAGGACTGTTAGTGAAAGGGGGGGGAACATCCCAAGTAATGGCAGCTATAAACAGCTATAATGCTGCAGGCATCTGGAGAGTGTAACTTGACCTCTAACCCTATTTATCACCACACTCGGGGTACTTAAGGGGCTTCTGAGTGGGTCCGCAGCAGTTGCAGCTAGACCGCCCCGAGTACCTGGAGGCCTTGGAGCAGGGAAGCCTTCCTTTCCAAGTTCTGGAGTGTGGTGTTCCGGATTTTGGTGTGCCGCCTGATGCGGCGGCCTATAAACAGTGCATCAGCCAGCTGGTTGCAATGCTCGCTCAAGGACACCACCTTTTTGGATCTTAGTAGGGCCGTGAGGGAATGAAGTACCTTGTGCCCCTTTATCGAAACCCGATACCCCCTCGTCTAGACCCTTTAAGGTACTTTCCCCTTATCTATACCTCATATCCCCTTATCTATACCCTTTATCCTCCTACTAACCAAGAACCAGGACAGAACGTGCTGCTGCATTGCAACGCGGGCATCGGGCGGACCGGAACTGGAGCCGTGGCCATTCTGCGCAGCTTGGGCACTGACCCTGAGGCGGCCGCGCCTCTCAGCTGTTCGGGGCGCCACCTTTCAGTGGCCAGGTTTAGGGTTTAGGGTTTAGGGTTTAGGATCGGGTCCTAAATATATGGGAGTTTCCGAAAATAGGGATACCCATTTTGGGGGGGTCCCTTTAACGGGATTCTATTCGATTTGGGGTATAACAGGGGCACCCTTATTTTTAGAAAATACCCATAAAGCCCTTGAGGATTCTCTAGTAGCCAAATGCCCTGGAAGTATAGGGATGGGGCTATAGGTGCAGTCTCAGCATATGATGATGTTTATGTTGTCTGAGCTCTATCCAATTCTCCGAAGGCACAGGTTCTTCAATTTCAGGCCCCCCCCGCCCTAAACCCTACTGTAAACCCGAAACCCTAAACCCTAAACCCCAAATCCTAAACCCTAAACCCTAAACCCTAAACCCTAAACCCTAAACCCTAAACCCTAAACCCTAAACCCTAAACCCTAAACCCTAAAGCCCTACACCGGCAATAGTCCAGGAACTGGGTGGCAGACGCTGGCAGTGGCGCAGAGACCCCAGGGCAAAAGGCTTTCCTGCAGGAACATTTTGGCGACCTTCCTAGTTAGCAGAATTGTCGAAGGGTTTAGGGTTTAGGGGTTTAGGGTTTAGGGTTAAGGGTAGGGTTCCTAGCTAGCAGAATTGTCAAACTTTCCAGGGTGTTAAAATTCACACGGGGGTACCCGTGATATAGACCCCCAGATACCACGATTCCCTTATCATAAGGACCCCCCATAGAGCACCCCCTAATTTCGGAAGCCCCCACATGCTAAAATAGTCGTTGCCGCCAAGTCGAATGATGCGTGGCGAAGCTTCCACAACCCGTGGGTTAGGGTTTAGAGTTTAGGGTTCAGGGTTCAGGGTTTAGGGTTTAGGGGTCCATGAGAGCAAAATTGGCGGTTTACACTTCTGTGAATAGCGGAGCTCACCACGCCGCCAGACCTGCCAGAGTTCAGAAAAAAACGTTGCCCTAAACCCTAAACCCTAAACCCCAAACCCAGACTTGTCGCCTGACCCTGAGTGTGCCCACCCAATACCGCATGTGATTCTACTGTAAGTGGACCCAAGTTGGCAATAGTTCTAAGTAGGGTAGTAAGGTAATTAACGAGTTGTAACTATAGTTACCTTACTTATAACCCCAGTTATAACTACCCATGAACCTCCAAGTAGAGTCATGTTCCCCATGCCCATGCCATCCACAACCTCGCCAGAACCTTCTAAACCCTATTTCAGCCAAACCCTACGTGCCCTAGACGCGTAAAGCCCTTGAATCCTCAACGCCAAACCCCCCCTAAGCCCCACACACGACCCCGTGCTAGATAGTATTGGGTTCGCAGTTTCGGGCTTGTGCATAGGGATGTTGTGTTTGTTAGTTGTCGTGCATGTCCACTCTTGACCTCGGCGGTGGTGGATACTCCTTTCTTCCTGCCAACTGCTTTGATGGTTTACGCTCTGGTTAGGTGTTGAGAATGGTCAGTGCTGTCCTGAAACATTGGGGCACTCACCTTGTGTGAACTGTTTCCAGTAGGGAATGAAGAATTGAGGTACTGAACATCCAAACGGTATATACACAAACATATATATATATATATACATATATATATTCATATATATATATATGGGGGTATGAGGTACCTCATTCCCTGTAAGAACTGCGCAAGGCGCATAGCACGCTGCGCGAAACTGCCTGCGTCTGACAGGCGCATTGGCAAGCAGTGCGCTACCCGCCCGAGCCCGAGCAGGAGGCCGGTGGTCAAGTATGTGTATAGATATGTGTATATGTATATGTTATGTATATATGAGCTGAAATAAATGAGTACATACGAAAGTATATACATATCTATATATCCTTTTCTAATCTTTTTATGTCCTTATGGAGATTACTGCCTTATCCGTACACTGAAATGTGTAATTCCCCCCCCCGCCCCTCCACAGCAACAAAACTACATCGATCAACCCTAGACCACCATGTTGTGGGGTTTGCCCAGAGTAACCACACTTAACCAAGGAGATGTACCAACAGTTCCGGTGCATGTCCCTGTTGAAAGGACGCCTGGGTTAAGTGTAATTACGTAGTTACATGTACAGATGCTCGTGTTCTGTGAAAAAGAAGCCCTCAAGTAGTCTAGCAGACTTGGGCAGAGGCCCTGGGGTTTAGGGTTTAGGGTTTAGGGTTTAGGGTTTAGGGTTTTCGGGTTTAGGGTTCAGGGTTTCGTATGTGCCTAGCTGACCACGTCCGTGGGCACCTGGATGATCGCAAGCTAGATTTGCGAAGCGAGCATTCTCAGGCTGGGAAATCACAAGAACACGGAATTTCGCGCGATCAGCATGCTCAGAATCGAAGAATTGTCCAACATACCCCTTGGGCATACCCTTAAAAGAAATCAAGGGGTGTGGTATCATCCTTCCTTTGATTATCCTTTTATAGCTTCAGGGGTATGGGTTTGGGGGATGTTGAATTCTTTTGGGATGAAAGCAAACTGAGAGTGTGGCTGGCTGAGAGGGACCCGGAAACCCTAAACCCTTAAGCCTAAACCCTGGCTTGTGTCGTTTGGAAGGCCAACTTTGAATGGGACGAGTTCGTCCGCTTCCGCGAGATGTGCAACATCAACATCACTGAGGCCTGTAGGTCCTAGGGTTTAGGGTTTAGGGTTAAGGGTTTAGGGTTTAGGGTTTAGGTTGTGAGTCTCCTCACAAGTGTCGGTGCTGTCAGTTTGGTGCCTTCTATCACACCTACCTGGGTATTTTCCCAAATCAGTGATCCCCCTAATATGCCCCCTGTATAGTATAATCTTTCTATAGGAACCCTCAAAAGGGGTCCCCCTATTTTCCCCCACAAAGTTTACCCCCCCTTTACACTGCATCCTGCACGAAGCGTCCCCTAAACCCTAAACCCTAAACCCTGAACCCTCAACCCTCAACCCTCAACCCTAAACCCTGTGCCAGGCGTGTGTCGTAGTCACGCCTGCGTGGATCATCGAGCACACCGGCAAGTTGCTGGAGGAGCCAGCATGATCCATGAGTATTGACAGCAAGCTTGGGTTTAGGGTTTAGGGTTTAGGGTTTAGGGTTTAGGGTTTAGGGTTTAGGGTTTAGGGTTTAGGGTTTAGGGTTTAGGGTTTAGGGTTTAGGGTTTAGGGTTTAGGGTTTAGGGTTCAGGGTTTCGGGTTTCGGGTTCGGGTTTCGGGTTTAGGAGTACTGTTCTCCTTCACCGAAGGGCGATTTTTCAGACCTGTAATCTGCCTCTTAGTCAGGGCAAGTATGCCTCTACCGTTGCCGACCATTATGAGGTTAAGTGAGGCGTATTGGGGGCTTTCTAGGTCTGCCCACCTGACCAACCCTAAACCCTGAAGCCGAAAACCTAGACCCTTGCCTAGCCTTTAGGACCACCTTGGCAGTGTGCAACTTTTCCCTGAGCTTGGGGGAGGGTCTAGGGTTTAGGGTTCAGGGTTTTGGGGTCTCGGAAGGGGCGGGTGTTGTGGATTCCCGCTCACAGCCCATGAAGCAAGCAAGGGGACCTTGTTCATTCCCAGCATACTGGGGAGCCTGGCATGATGCCGGCTCAGATCGCATGCCTGCACCCAAAAGCTAGCCCCTGAGCCCTAAACCCTAACGCCTCAGCCCTATAATCCCTCTAAACCCTGAAAACCATCTAAACCCTATACACCCTCCAAACCCTATAAACCCTCTAAACCCTATCAACCCTAAACCCCAAACCCTAAACCCTAGCCCTAAACCCCAAACCCTAAACCCTCTAAATCCCGAACCCGTATGAAGCAAAGCCCTGAATCGGGCAGGAGATCTGCCAGAAGGTGCCCATCCCGTGGCAGGACCTACTTAAGGTTGTTGCAATGAAGAATCAGGGTTCAGGGTTTAAGGTTTAGGGTTTAAGGTTTAGGGTTTGGGGTTTCGGGGGTGGGGTTCATTGGGTTTAGGGTTTTAGGTTTCGGGTTAGGTTTAGGTGATCCGTGTCTGCCTTGTGCCTGACGTTTCGGCTTGCGGTCTACCCTCAGCTTTCTGTCAAACCTTACCCACCTCAAAATCCTACACCCTAGAACCCTAAAGCCCTAAACCCTAGACCCGAAACCCTACATCTTAAACCCTAAACCCTAAGCCCTAAACCCTAAACCCTAAACCCTAAACCCTAAACCCCCAACCTCAACCATGGTTCGTTGGGTCTGCAGGACATCGATGCATGTGTCTTCGCGCGGAGCTCGGAAGCACAAGCTATGGCATCCTTTTGGCTTGTGACATGTCTTTTGCGGATTTAGGGTTTAGAACTGTTAGGGCTCAGGGTTTAGGGATTAGGGCTGTAAAGGGTTGTTTTTTTGCAGGTTTAGGGTGTGTGTTTTTTCGGGCTTAGGGTCTAAGAGTTTTAGGGTTGTGTCCACGCATCCTTCGAGCCAGTTTCAGAGTCTTTGCACACCGAAATCCTCCGGAATCATGTACCCTAAACCCTAAACCCTATACCCTATACCCTAAACCCTAAGCCCCTAAACCCTGTAGATCCTGAAGCCCTCGAACACAAGCCAAACTGTTGGAAGCCAAAGCGCGCACCCCTTTTTGGCATCCCATGGCTGCACAGGTATCTAAGGAAACCTTGGTTTAGGGTTTAAGGGTGTGAGGGTTTAGGGTTTAGGTTTAGGGTTTGGGGTTAAGGGTTTGGGGTTTAGGGTCTAGGCTTTAAGGTTATTTAGGGTTTAAGGGTGTAGGCTTTGAGGGTTCAGGGTTTAGGGCTTCGGGGTTAAGGATTTAAGGGTTTGGGGGATAAGGGTGTAGGGGTTAAGGATTTAGGGTTTGGGGTTTAGGGTTTGGGGTTGGGTGAAGGGTTTTGGGTGTAAGGGTTAGGTTTTGGGGGTTTAGGGTCAAGGGTTTGGGATTTGTGCTTTAGGGTTTGGGGTTTGGTGTTTGGGGTTTAGGGTTTAGGGGGAAGTAAGTATCTGTGCAAGATTGTCTTGGGGCAAGGGTTTTTCTAGGGTTTAGGGTTTGGGGTCAAGGAAAGTACCAGTAGCAGAGTAGGCGCTAGGATGGTGAATCCTAAACCTAAACTGTAGGACCCTAAACCCCCAAACCCTAAACCCTTACACCCTAAACCTTAAACCCTGAAACCCAAAACAGATGGTTTATTTTGGCCCTGTACTTTGCAGCTAGGGGCGGGTTTTTGTGAGGTTCTTTGGCTTGGTCGCCCAGTGGCACCCTTTACCCCTTTTTCTTGGCTATGGGTCCCCCTTTAGGGCCTAGGGCTGCCAACCCCAAAAAGGGTGTTAGAGTTTAGGGTTTAGGGTTTAGGGTTTAGGGTTTAGGGGCCCTTTTCTGGCTTACCAAGTTGGGGCCAGGTTCTCCAAGCTTTGGGGGCTTAGGGGTTTGCGGCTTCTTCACATGCGCGTAGGCCTCTTCGGCCTTTGACCCCAAGCCCAAGACGCGTAGAAATCCCTGACCATAAGTTGTCTTTGCCTGGCTCAAGTCCCGAGGCTAGAAAGCTGGTACTCTTATTTGGGTATTTTGATTTTCGGGAGGGGGAGGGGGGGGGGGGGGGGGGGGGGGTGGGGTTTGCTGGGGGGGGGGGGGGGTGGGGGGCGTGTAGGACAAAGAGCACCTCCAACGGCCCGGGGATGGGGGGGGAGGGGGGGGTGGGGTGGGGGGGGGGGTGGGGGTGGGGGGGGGGGGGGGGGGGGGGGGGGGGGGGGGGGGGGTGGGGTGGCCACACCCCTTTTCAAGAAACACGAGTGTACCTGACACCTTGGGTCCCAGGTTTCGGGGCAGGGCTTGGAAACCAAAACCTGCTAAACCCGAAACCCTAAACCAAACCCGAAACCCTAAACCCTAAACCCTAAACCCTAAACCCTGAGCCCGCCTTGCGAGTAGCAAGGTCCTCACTGGCGTCGCCCCTCGTGCAGCCGCCGGGCAGGCAACGCCTCCTTGCATCGATCTAAGTAAAGAGTTGAGAGTTTAGGCGTTTAGAGTTAAAGGCTCAGCATCTCAAGTCCCAGCATTCACGAATAGCTCAGCTTGTCAGGCAAGAGCCCGTTGGCTCCCACAGCCTTAGGAAGTCATTTTACTTTGCATGCCTCATGTGAGCTTCCCCCCCAAACCCAAAAATATGTCATAATCTTCCTGTCAACTTCTTCAAGGATGGTTCCCTCCATGTGTTTATGCCTTGCGTCTTGCCGTTGAAGCCCCGCACCTTGCTGGCGAATGTTCATTGGTTCCAGGCATGCTTTCGGTGTAGGGAGATATGTATATATATATATATATCGCTATGTGCACACACTGGGCCTCACTAAACCCTTCACCCTACAGCTACGCCACATTGCTGCCATTTCCAATGCCAGGCTATCAAAAAATCTTCAAGTCGCCAGACGATGCACAGCTAGCATAATCTGCTACCCTGCGTAGCACATGCAAAGATGAGGTCAACTCTCTTGGGAGCTTATCATTCAATATGATTCGGGGGGGGTTAAAGGGACTAAAGGGGTTAAAGGGGTTAATGCGAAATTCGGGGGGACGGGACTACGCCCATTAGCCCTCGACTGGCCATCGACAGCAAGGCGGCTATAAGGGGGATGAGTATTCAGGGGTGGACATTCTGCTCCCTATATAGTATTCCTATGGGATTCCCAATTGAACCCTATGGCGTTCAGGGTAGGGTTTCACGGCTCATGTAGATCCATCGCCGCACCCTTTTCTCGCAAGCACTTGCTGCCTAGACCTCGGCGTGTTTCAGAAAGCCGAAATTTGTCCCGTACTTACGTAGGGTTTGGGGTTTAGGGTTCAGGGTTTAGGCGCTCGGCGCAGGACAAAGTGATACCAAGGCTGATTGAACTGCTGCCGTGGCCTCAAGAAAAGCGATGAACAAGCACGTGTTGATCCGCACCTCTGTATGAACACAGCTGAGTAGCCGCCCTTTGTGATTCAATTCTGCACCCCAACACCAGCTTAGCTTCGTTTAGGCGCACCGACCTCCATTAAAAATTGCCCGGTCTTGAGCGTGACTACGTACTCTCTTTCAATCAGTCAGTTGCTCACGGGGTGTAGATTGCATGTGGACCATGAACCTCTTCAGGGATCATGGAGCCCGCAAAGAAATAACATACCTAAGCTTATAAGCTACAGGCAAGCCAAAACATGCTGTCCATGTGGATGAGTCCTGCCCAATGTTGCTGTCAGACATTCACAGCATCCAGCTATGCGTAGGGGTGCGAGAACTGCATGGTCCTTCCACGTGGCAAAGACCAACAGCGTCAGCAGAGCAGTTAGACAAAGCAGCGGCAGTCATGCCAGCCAAAGCCTTTATGGAGTTAGGCACCATTAGGTATCCAAAGCCTTCCTATATGGTGGTTTCCGAAATTAGGGGGTACCTTATTGGGGTCCCTATGATAAGGGGCTCCTTCTACTTGGGGTTCCATATTTGGGGTGGTAAAACAAGAAGAACAAGCCGCCCCGAGAAATTCCGGTAGAGGAGGTAGGTTGAGGGTTCAGGGTATAGGGTTTAGGGTTTAGGGTTTGGCCTAATATCCCTAAGCTCGAAACCCTAAACCCCTATATAGCCCAAAACCCTAAACCCTATTTAGCAATTTAGGCATCTGGACCCTGACCGGCTCATGAGGCCGCAGTTGCCGTACCCCAACGACGGGTTCAAGGAGCGAGTCTCACGGAGGGCTTGGGGGAGGCTTTAGGGTATAGGGTTTAGGGTTGAGGGTTCAGAGTTTAAGGGTAAAAGGAGGGCCCCCCAGAAGGGACCCTTAATCTTATTCCCCGGCCCTATAGAAGCCCTACATGTACCTGATATAGTCCCTATGACTTAAGTAGCACCCACATATCCCCCTATTGACAGGACCTCACAAGGAAACGACCCAGGGGATTGATTCCCTTGGCAGCCCAGGGGGCCCGTTACCTCTTTTTTGGTTATGGGTTGTGTAAGGCAACCAGGTTTAGGGTTTAGGGTTTAGGGTTTAGGGTCTAGGGTTTAGCGCCAGGGTTTAACCAACCCCCAAAAAGTTGGGTGCCCGTAAACTGTGGTGGGGGGGGGGGGGGGGGGGGTGCCACATTTTCCCCATAAGTCGCACCCGGATCCTCTCGTCTTCGGTAGCCCTCGGATTCCGTAACTTTGCTCGTAAGGATTTGTGGGTTTTTGGGTTTCAAATGCGCATGCTCTGCAGCCGTAATGCCCACACCTAAACCCTGAACCCTACACCCTACATACCCAACGTAGAATACCCTTTTGACACCTTTAAATCTAAACAACCCCTACACAAGAACAACAAGCACCTCTAGCTCGGCAGCCCGTGTAGGGTTTAGG